TATATTCATGTGTATAACAGAGCAACGCATTTCTCGCGTCTGTTCAGCTCAATTACTTGAACAAGAAACATGTTGCAGGTACGCCAATTGAAGTAAGCAAACCTTATCCACTGTTACTTTCAAACGTCGTTAACCCACTTAAACCTCTTTGATTGGTCCTCCAATGGAAGTTGGGGTTCGGAGTGATAATTACCAATGGAATTTGATTGTTAGGCCGTTGAGATTCTACGTGTATAAACAAACAGCGGACTGTCTGCGTGGTCATGCTCGTCATGCTGGCACGGGGCGGAATATCAGAGCAACAGTCAATTGTTACAGTTATGAGTTCGGGTTACATGGATTTGTAACTGTCTTTAAACTGTCTAATTCTGAGAATTAACACAGAACCTTGCGCACTGTATCAACACAAAAATGGATGTTAGCTACTACTTGCATGCAACAGCACAACTGCTCCCCCTTGTTCTTCAAAATACAAGCCTGGATCTTGCTTAAATTTATTACTGATCGTTATAAATAATGATCGCGTACACTAAGTTGATCTCACTTTATTGCCTAAAGCAAATAGTTTGATTGATATATTGGGTTTTTGGACTTTATTCATCGTCCTGGTTTTTCTTAAAAACCAGGACGATGGATAAAGTCCAAAAACCCAATATATCAGTGTGTTATACACCATCGTCAGAATCCTATAGTAAATAGTTTGATATTACCTTAGAAGAAGGCTGGTTCTGACCGCTTTCGATACTTAGTATGAATTCTTCATTTGGTGAATACCTTTCGATAAAACAGTAATCTGAAAACAATTTCGGCCACTTAGAACAGCTAGTTGGAAAAGAATTATAGCTTTACTGTTTTGCTGTTGACCATAAAAATGAAATAAATATTATAGAACTTAGAGGGAAAATATTTTAATTCGCATACAATTAATATATTTAACTGTTTTATTCGAAATTTTATAATGTTTCATTCGACAGTTAAGGAGGTCGTATAGATGTTAATGACTACGTAAACTCAGGCTTCACAGAAACAAGTAGGTCTGTATATTTATCTGTCTATAGCTCTACAAGCCCTTTTGTTGGACATTGGCCTCTTCTCATCTTCTTGATCTCTTACATAGTCGGTAGGACTCCTTGGACGTGGGATCAGCCCGTCGCAAGGCCGCTATCTGCATACACAGGATAGCACAAGCACATAATAAACACAGACATCCATGCTTTGAGTGGGATTCGAATCCGCGACTCCAGTGTTTGAGCGAGCGAAGACAGTTCGTGCCTTAGACCGCGCGGTCACTGGGATCGGGAATTAGTTCTACTTCCGTAACCGCACAGCACTATAAGCCAGTACTCTGTCCAAGTATTTCGGGAGACTGGATATGTGGTTAGCACGCACGAACTCTGCTTTAAATTACGACAAACTGGTAACTACTGTGCATGCAGCCAATACAGCGACCAGCCATTTGCAAGGCACACAGGCTCTCATCTTACATTAACAATAACGTCTTTTCGTAAAACGGAATACGAAGCTTTTCAATGACATTGGCATTTAAACTTGGTAATAAAGTGGGTGGGTCCCTTGTCACCACGGCATGGCGCGTCCTCAGGTTGCGGATGGAGAAGACGGCCTCCAGATATGGAGGGTAGCTGCGACTCTATTAAATAAGCAGTCGCGGAGAGCTGACAAGAGGTGGTCCTCCAACTAGGAAGTTGGGCATGGGGCTAACAACTCTTCACCGTAAATATAAGATTGTTGCGAAATGTCACAAAGGGTTTCATGCCTGGATGGACTGTTTGGATAGACGACCTAAGCTAAGGCAAATGGAAAAGAGACGTGGGACATGGAAGTTAGGTCTGTATAGGGCAGATTCTTTCATGACAGTGGCAGAAGAAATCACAAAATATAAGTTAGATTTAGCGGGAGTATAGGAGGTCAGATGGGATGGAGGAGGGATCAAAGCAGCAGGCGAATATACATTTTTGTGTTTGAAAGGGGAATGAGTATCATGAATTAGGTACAGGTTTCTTCATACATAAAAGAATCTTATCGGTATTTAATAGGGTAGAGTTTGATAGTGGTAGGATGTCGTACATAACACTAAGAGGTCGCTGGTGTGGTACCATTATTATGAACGTTCGTGCCCCAACAGAGGATAAAACTGATAACATCATGAGCAGCTTCTACATGGAATTAGAATGTGTATTCGAAAAATTCCCTAAATATCACATGAAAATTCTGTTAGGAGATTTCAATGCCAAAGTAGGTAGGGAAAATATTTTGAAACCATTAATTGGCAATGAAAGTTTGCATGAAAGTAGCAATGACAATGCAGTTAGAGTAATAATTTTTGCCACATCCAAAAATCTGACTGTCAAAAGTAAAATGTTCCCACGGCGTAACATTAATAAATGTACTTGGACATCTCCTGATGGAAAGACACACAACCAAA